ATATATATATATATATATATATATATATATATATATATATATATATATATGTATATATACATATATATACACAAGTATATATATATATTTATATATACATGTATATATATATGTGTGTGTGTGTGTATATATATATTATATATGTATGCATATAAAAATATATATCTTTATATTCATGTGTGTGTGTGTGTGTGTGTGTACGTGTGTGTATTCATATACGTACACGCACAAACGCATACACACACACACACATATATATATATATATATATATATATATAAATATATATAATGTATATGTAAATCACTGGAGTACATATTTTTAAAATACTTGCAATGATAAACCATTTGACATATCCAAATGTATTGGTCAAGTACATATGTATATGTACAGACAAACGTGAACAACGTTTTCAGTCGTTTTTACGATAACTTACCCTTATCTTCGTCTACACGCAGCACCATGACAGCCTCATTCCTACCCACACGGATTAAACGTGCAATAGAACGGATACGTCTTCTTGACAACTCACTGAGCAAGATCATGCCTTCGATGCCATCATACTCTAACAATGAAACATAAGCACCCATCTCTGCAATGGAGCGGACATTTACCATAACAACTTCATCTTTGTCAGGGAAGCGCTTCTCATAGAAGCGACACGTTTCTTTTACCATCTTGGAAATTGTGTACTATAGTAAGGGTGATGCAGCCTACTACGCAAGATATGTATAGGCTAGGGGAGGAAGTTTAATAATACGGCTGACAACTATTTACAATACGTCGAAGTTCAGAGCAGCATTATCCACTCGAATGCTGACTTGGTGTTCGAAAGGAAAATATTTTTTAACCCATCGCGCAACGCCCCCATCAACCCCACATGTTTCGATACTTAAGGTACACGAGTTTGTTTTTTGGAATAAAAAACAACCCGAGTTTGTTTTAGCAAAAAAAAACATACAATACCCAATACCATCAATGGCCGCCGAATTTCATCTCTCACTCTCAAACTCTCAAACTCTCAACTTGACTCATGTCTCCAACCCATTATTTTTCAAATAAACACTAAAGCACGCACTAAAAGTTTCCGAATTAATGCGCTTATCCACCTACCCATTATTCTATATATAGATTAAACAGTTGCAAGAACCGGCCGGCGGCTTGACCTTGGTTGTGTAGATTTTTTGCGTTTGAGCCGGCTGTGGTACAAATTTTATTTTTATCTCATTTATGTTGCCATACAGTTTCAGATCGCGCGAAATGCAACCGGTTGATATTTTTATATATAATCGGCGTATTTATATTACATGATATTATATTTATAACGATATTGTCGTATACGTAATGTGTTCACGATATGTCCCTATTAAAAAGACATATGTAATGAAGTGTTCACATTCTTTGAGTTGGCCCAGTCTTCCTGTCGAAGCTGATGTTGGGAAGTATAGAAGAACTGTTTTGGCGCCAGCACGTATGCCTTATCGATTGTATTAAAATGGTCTCGGAAAGATCACCATTTCACATGGAAGTTAGTCCAAGTAATACAATCGCGTTGGAAGAAAAGATTAGTATACTCCCAATTATATCTTGACTGAGATAGAATTGCACAATTAGGAGGTCCAGCGAAGTGCGAAGCCATCGAGTCAGACATTTTTCAGTGAGCTCGCACAAACTAGATTTTAGGAGGTTCAGAGATATTTCACATGAGGCCAGATATACATCCAAGCACGAAGTATCATGCGATGAACGTCAAGTGAACGTTAATAAGAAACAGTAGCAGACTTTCAATAGTATGTTCAATGAGAAATTGGCAAGTGGTAAAGCAGTGCTTGGCATGTGAGTCCTTGTGTTCTCCTTATCTCGACCTTTAGTAGGGCGTTATACATCGTCGTAGGTATACAACATTGGCCACGTGATATGCAAACATCGGTGAAGCAGGCTCTGACTCTATTCTAAGGGGGGGATGGGAACTTGGTGAGTAGGAGAATTTATACTCTAGGGCATTCACATCCCTTGTTCCCTTGTTTCTTTCATTAAGTCCGAGTGTGTTTATCCACACACAGTTGTGAGGGGGGTGTTGATATCACCGAACAGTTAACATCGGCATAATCCCGTTTTATTTTAAAATAGCACACCGGAACTGTGGGCTTTCAAAGTCTTTCAGATTTCTCTTTGCTTAGTGGACTTTCGAGTTTAAATCTAAATATCTCGCTTTAGGTGTGGTTCAGATGGTATTCTATAGACTACAGAACGTTGCATTCAATAGAACTCAGAATAGTTAGAGCAGAATGAGAGCTGGCGCTTGGATAAAGGTGCGAAGAAGTGTAAGACTTTTGCTGGGTATATTAGTACTGTTTGAGATGGTGCTATACCCTGATGTACACTGCATATAACCGGGTAGGCTTTTCAAGGTATGTGAGCTAAAGTAACCCCACCTGATAGGTGAGAGTTTCAGATTTCTATATACGGTACATATTTGTATATTATATATTGTAATATCTGTATATGTTTTAACTTCTATCTGACTCTTTACTGTGGTATTGGGATTGATAATTCATTTTTATCAATATAACCGGCATATTTTACCCCATTTATTTTATTGGTGATTTCGACACAAAGCTTTCTGTTGTTTTTCTAAGATTTCGTTGAATTAGCACTGATGGACACGCATATATATATATATTAATCAAGATATGTTAGACCACGTGTTTCCATGTATTTGTAGGGGGTGTCTTATTTACATTGGTGCTGCGCAGGTCAATGTATATGTACTCGAAGTGCCATAAGGTTATAATTTATTAGTGTTTGATTGTCTCGATACGGGTATAGTCGGCTGCTTGTGCAAGTATAGCATTGCCTGAGTCGGTACAGAAATTGATACCGTGTACTGATCCCAAATTGTAAGCTATATATTGATCAAGTGAATAGATCATTGCAGATGATGTGGTCTATGTATTAGGTCCACTCTCAATCTTATATTGACTGAGCGCAAGGATTGGTACAGCTTGAGGTGGTTCTGTGTATTAGATCCCCCTCTAGGCCATAGTATCTGAGTTCTATGTCTATTGTTAGTCTATTTTACTACATATTGACCGATTTTGTGTATAAATTGCATGAAGTGTGGTGTGGGTTTTCCAGTTAATGTTTGTGTATCAATTGCGTATAGTCTAGTGGGGTTTATGACACCTATATTGTCAACTATGTATGGCACGAGTATGTGTATATATTGTCCATTTTATTAATTGTGTATTGCGTGCTGTGCACAAATTGGTTGTGATAATTATGTTTTGTTGAAAGAAGTTTACTTTTGAACGATATTCAAGACTTGAGTTTGTCTATGCATTGGTATGTGTTGATCTGGTTTAATATTTCGTGCAAACGGGCGCGTAGGAAAGATCATTGGGTGTTGATGGGATCATTTGTGCAGGCAATGGATGCGCATGCAGACAGTCAAATAACTTCAATATTTATCTTGTATTTTTCCGTTTGTTGCATATTAGTTTTATCTACTATATATTTGACCAGGATCTGATGATTAGTCTACATCGATATACATTAACATTCAGTTTTGTATTGTATTGCATACATGCGTGTGTTCGTCATATATGTGAGTACCGTTTCTGGGTATCAATGTACTTTGATTGCACAGGAGCATTGGGCTGTTGTGCTCTTGTATGTAGAGAAGTAGGCTTATACACGTACGATACGATATGGTTGTGCTTGAATATACGTGGACATAGTACCAAATGTAGATAGATATGTATCAGTATATAAATTCATGTCCATGAGAGTCCTTTTATGGTAGAGTACAATGTTTGTTTTCATGTTGATCGGTTTACCTTTAGTTCGCATGTTTTCTATTAATACAATATTGATGCATATGAGTACTAATATTCTTTGTTCCCGTTGTATGTTGGTTGTGTTTTCACTTGCCTGTTCACCCGGTTTTGTATAGTGTCGTTGTTTTATATCATGACAACAATATTTAATAGATTGGCAAATTAGTGGTCCCAGTTTTACATATACTTTCTGCCAAGGCGGCCGAATTAATCTGTCTTTTTTGTGTTTGGCCTAGTTTTTTGGGTGTTTGATTCAGCCACGAATTAGTAATTACTTGCTTAGGTCTCTAAATTTTCCTATGCTGTATATGCATGTTCAGGAAAGTCTCATATCTACACATTCACTCTAGATTAGGAACATTCTTTTTTTTATCTATGTTTCGTAACAACTTGTTTTTTGAAGCAACTGTAAGTGCCCTTGTTTATATTTATATATATAATGGATATATACGAGCATGCATCCCTTGTATGTATTTTATGTGTATATATATATTCGTTTTTATATGAATATATATATTTAACGTATCTATACGAGCATGCATGATAGTATTTGTGAGTGCACAGTAAGGTCTAGTAGTTGACAACGTACCTGTGTTTGCTTATACAATATCCTGTTCGATTTGTGTGTCAGTAGTTGTATATATGGTTTTATATATACTATATACATGCATGTAGATGTATGTATACACCTACATATGTATATGTTTGTGTACTGATATTATTGTAAGTATACATCTTATATATATACATATGTATATATATACATATATCCTCGGTTTTGTATTATAGGTAAGCCTAAGGCTTGTGACAACCAGGATCCTCCAGGCTTTTGTTGTGTGTGCATTTTTATAGACATTTATGGTTGGAGATATGAGGCATCCCACTCACACGCAGGTATATGAATATATATACTATAACACTTATATATATATATACCCTAGACCTTATCTTCTAGGTAAGAATAAGGCTTGTGGCAACCAGGAACCTCTATGCTTTTGTTGTGCGTATTTTTTTATAGACTTTTATGGGAAGAGATACGAGGCGTCCCACTCAGACGCAAGGACATGCATATGTATGTATGTTTATATTTATGTATAAAACTCTTATATATACAAATAAATTTGTATAGACGGAAGATGCATGAGCCGTTTTCAACACAACCTTTTACTTTAAACGGGGCATTCCTGATGTCGCGTAATAACTTTCCTTGCTTACTGCAGCAGGTCATATTTTTCAATTGCTTATTAAAGTTACCATCTATTTATTTATTCCTACATATGTACGGAAGATACATGAAATATTGTTTACAAGACAAACTATTAGCTGAAATATTGTATTTGTGATGCCGTGGAATAACCTTTTCTTTTTTCCGACAGCAGCTCACATGTTTCAGTAGAGGCTTTATTTGTATCAATTCGACATAATCTAGGGCCCGGCTATGAATATGTGTACTTGTACTGTTGCACAACGAAATTGAAATGTGTACTTGTCTGCACATCGGTTAGAATACAATTCAATTTTTATTGTTAATTTAAAAACACTTGCTTTCGTTTAGTTTAACTCGGAATATGCTCGGTGAAATAACCTTTGAAGTAATTTTGTATACGCTCGGCATCCCTTGTTTGAATGCCCGGTATCTATTGTTGGATTCTTCGCCAGCTGTGCAATCAATTATCACTAGCGTTGTCGATCTTGTAGCGCTTTGAGCCCCAACGTTCCTTCCTATATTGTTATAGTGGCTCGGTCGACACAGCTTAGGCATGTACAGCACGTATTGATATACATTATTATATATATCATAGTTCCACGGGAGCGAGTAGAAGGATATGTCGCTCTGCACTCTCCGAGCTGTGTCTTGGTCAAATTCTCATCTCAGACGCAATCGGCTTGTCTCAGAAGCATCCGAACATAATTGAAAGGTCTGGATCCGGATAACTTAGCAAGACTCTCTTCTCTTCCGGCGTCACCACGCAATTTGATGAGAATAATTTAAATTCCATATCGACAGCATTGATGTCAGTTCCTTTCCTGAGGTGATAATAAGGCCTGCATATGCCATACTCACAAACGTCTCAGTTTCTTCCGGCTTGTTTTCCTGGAGAGCTCTCGAGAGGACTGATTCAGTACAGACTGTCTGTACTGGTCGTCAAATGAATCGTAAGTGAGCGATTCACACGACGATGAGCGAGATACGGTTGTGAGATGAGGGCTTGGGCTGGGTTTGACTGGACTGGTCCTGGCTGGGCTTTCAGGTCCTCCTGGGCTGGTGATCCGCTTTGGCTCGACTGGGAACGGCGAGAATATGAAGTCTCTATCGAAACTGCAGTCCGAGCTGCTTGGATTTAATTTCCTTTTAGGTGGACTGTTGTTGATATTATCGAGAATTCCGGCCGGCATGATGTTCGATAGATATGTACATGCAATTCTCGCGTCTTCGGAGATATCTGCCTATCGGTTAGTATTGGAAATGACCCCAATTGAACGCTTCTTCATATATATAAATAAATATATGCTTGTGGCTGTGATTCTCAATATGTGATAAGACATGCTCGCAGAGAAAACTTGATACATGCACAACTAGAGTAGTATTTTAGGGAAAGGGCAGGGGAACCTGAAAATAAATTGTACAATAAACAAAAAAACTAAAACATAACCACACGACTCGAGTCTCAGACTCTCGCGAGAGTCGCAATTTCTCTCAGAGAACGCACGGGGTCTGGAGCTCGCCGTGGAGCCCTGGACTCACCTGTGAGGTTGGCCCTGGGGCCTGGGCCTACTCCTTTAGGTTCGGAGGCGGTTTAATTCTGATTGAATATAAATATCCCGCTCATCCGCATTGGGTCAATTCCAACTGCGAATCGAATAATTTAACATCTAGCTGACGAGTTTTTAAGCTTGTCGCAAATTAAAATTTCGTCATTGGTGGACGACGGGACGCAATGGACGGTGAGTGTCTATTTATAATAATAACCGTCTATATATTAAATATGCAGGTTGCATTGTAGGAACTAGGAAAGGTTCCGGTTTGACATTTTTCTTTAAAAAAACAACCGACCTATTCTTATGGCCTTATTTAAGGAAAAAGAAAAAGAAGGCTATGTAGGTCTCTTCGCTATGCTATTCTTTTTAGGGAAAAACCTTGTCTGTAACTATTATTCAACTGTACACAGACAACAGAAGATCTATATAAATAAAACCATCAGTTTATGAATAGTGACAAAAGTTATGCTTACCAATTATAATAGTTTATCTTGCTGATTGTGCTTTTCAGATAACGACCGTCCCCAAGGGAGCCAATGGGTTTTTTTTTATTTAGCCCTTCTGACTCGATTTTCAGGACATAATCGCACCAAAGTGCACATACAATTTCTTTCAATCGGTCAAGGAAAAAAGAATAAACCCGAAATTAACATCTGGCATTATGACGCAGGACTGCTAAATATGTGTTTTTGGGTGTTTTTTTTATTAAATAAAATAATAAATCCTTATCATAATTCGTTAATAAAATGCCAATTATACCATAGCATGTCCTACTATATTTTGGCGGGTCCAGGGTTAAAACCGGTAAACGGTAGACAACTTTCTCTGGTATCTTCCGTCTAAATCGGTATCTCAACCAAATCGCCGCGGAAGCTCCACCAGTTTCATCCGCCTTTGTGTTCCTAGCGACTCTGTCGCCCAGGTGGAACGACATGCAGCACTTACGTGGAAATGGCATCTTGATGAAAACATCGACCCCCGCTCCCAACAACATCCCGACGCTACGAAAGCAGCTTTAATTCACTATCTCCGCACCAAGCGGGAGGCCCGCTGCACACATGAACGAGCGCCAAAAATTCTTGCCCGCAGCATGGATGCACTACTGAGCCCACTTGTCAACTCCACTAACGCAGACATCCTCCAATCTACCGCGGACCGTCTTCAGAAGGCTTACCAAGCAAAGCATGATGCAAACCTTTTCTCACTTAACCCGCGAATCCCGGTAAACGCCAAAGAATCAAGGCGTGCGGAACCCGGACGACTTCATATACCAACGGTCTCCCCAACACAATCATCCGACACGATGGATCGCAATACGCAGCTTCAGCTTTCCACGACGGACTCTTCGACGACAGGCAATGATATAGAAATGGCTGACATCGTCAAAGAGGAGAGCCCAGTAGTATTGACCGATGATGAACAATGTTAGAACCAATGAGGATGACGCTCTTCAACCCACAAGGACTCAACATGGGCAACGCAGCACATACACATATTATATCGAACCATAACACCACATTTCTTAATCGTATACACTCGAACACACGCTATCATATACTACATCACACTACACGGCATAATATCTTACACCCTTCACACTGTGGTATTGGTATCTTTTCCAAACACCACCCATCGAATTTTCAACTTGTACACTCTTCACCGTACGCGGTGTTCTTTGTGTGCTTTGGCGTTCATATGGCCGTGTTCTAC